TGCTCTGTCCCAGGGGTTTAGGGCTTTATGAGTTTCCGTTATGCTGCTGCCTTCTTTTTTTTTCCTTCAGAGCTGCCCTGCCCAGCAAGGAGGCAGCCTAGTCACTGTCCGCCTGTAGAGGCTTTGCAGAGCTGCTGTGGGCTCCGCCCAGCTGCCAAGTGAAATTTCCTGCAGTCCTGTTTATATGGGTATAGTTAGAACTGCCTTGGCAATGGTGGCCCGCCTCTGTTAAGGTGGAGCCTCTCTGCAGTGGCGGGTTGCCTTGGCAACGGCAGGCTGCCTCAGCAATGGCAGGTTGCCTTGGCAACGGCATGCTGCCTCAGCATTGGCTGACTACCTCCATCGTGGTGGGCTGCCTTGGTAATGCGGATGCCTCTTCCCCACAGAGCTGAACCCTCCCCGGTTCAGCTGCGCTTGCTGTGAAACTCTCAATCCAGAGAGTTTCTGATTGCCATTCTTTTGTGGGGGTGGTGGGACCAGCTGAGCCTGATCGCCTGACTCCCTGCCTCAGAGCCTTTTTTTTTCTTTTTTTTTAAGTTGGTGTTGCAGTCGCCTGTTGAAGAGGCACCGGGGTCTGTGTTTTTTCCCCTGCGGCGACTCACTGCGCTGGTTTTAAACAGCGGCACTGAGATTTGTGGCGCTTTTTTTGCCCTGGAATCTACTCTCCTGGTTCCCTGCTCAGTCCCCTTTTTAATCAGAGGAATGGGCGGCTTCCCGTGGCTCCAATCGCCAGCCAAAAGGGCACCCGGACCGGTGTATTTTGTATGGAGAACCGCTGCTCCGGGGCACCAACAAAGCAGCTGCATGGGGCAAAGCAGCAGTGCCAGCCAGCACAGCCGTGCTGGTGACCCGTGGAGCTCCTCCACCTGGGAATTGCCTAGTCTGTGGGCAATAAAAATGCGGTGTCCACTCACCCTGTGCGCTTTCACTGGGAGCTGCAATCCTGAGCTGCAATCCTAAACGGCCATCTTGGATTGAAAACGATGTAAATTCTTGATTATGTTGATGCTCATTACTTTTCGGTATTTTTTAGAAAGGCTGATACTGGTTGTTCCTTTCTATGTGTAGTAGTTCTTTCAGGAGCTCTTGTAAAGCAGGCCTGGTGGTATTGAAATCTCTGAATGCTTGCTTATTCACAAAAGATTTTATTTTTCCTTCGCTTATGAAGCTTAGTTTGGCTGGATGTAAAATTCTGGGTTGAAAGTTCTTTTCTTTAAGGATGTTGAATATTGGCCCCCGCTCTCTTCTAGCTTGTAGGGTTTCTGCTGAGAGATCTGCTGTGAGTCTGATAGGCTTCCTTTTATGGGTAACCTGACTTTCTCTCTGGCTGCCCTCAGTATTTTCTCCTTCATTTCAACCCTGGTGAATCTGGCGATTATGTGCCTTGAGGTTGGTCTCCTTGAGGAATATCTTTGTGGTGTTCTCTGTATTACCCGGAGTTGAATATTGTCCTGCCTTGCTAGGTTGGGAAAGTTTTCGTGAATGATATCCTGAAGTGTATTTTCCAGCTTGGATTGATTCTCTTCGTCACATTCAGGTACACCTATCAAGCATAGATTAGGTCTTTTCACATAGTCCCATATTTCTTGGAGACTTTGCTTGTTCCTTTTTATCCTTTTCTCTCTAATCTTGTCTTCTTGTTTTGTTTCATTAAGTTGGTCTTCGACTTTTGCTATCTTTTCTTCTGCTTGATCAATTTGGCTGTTAAAACTTGTGCATAGTTCGCAAACTTCTCGTGTTGTGTTTTTCAGCCCCATTAATTCACTTATATTCCTCTCTAAATTGTGTATTCTTGTTAACATTTCGTCAAACCTTTTTTCAAAATTCTTAGTTTCTTTGCATTGGGTTAGAACAAGTTCTTTTAATTCACAGAAGTTTCTTATCATCCACCTTTTGAAGCCTGCTTCCATTAATGGAACACACTCGTTCTCCATCAGGCCTTGTTCCATTGCTGATGAAGAACTATGATCCCCTGTAAAGGGAGAGGTGTCCTGATTTTGGGTATTCTCAGCCTTTTTAGGCTGTTTTCTTCCCTTCGTTATAAATTTATCCATCTGTAGTCTTTATAATTACCATCTTTATAACTAGGTTTCTGAGTGGACGTCCAACTTGTTGATTCCCAGCGCTAAAATCTGAGCAACCCATTGTGCCGGCCAAAGCAGCGGCATTATGATTGATGGTGCTTTTCTGACTCTGCACCAAGAACTGCCGCACCAAGGCAGCGGCAAAACTGCCTCGCTGGCCACAAGAGACGCGCTGGTGACCCTTGGCACTCCTCCGCTGGGAATCTCCTGGTGCGTGAGCAACAAAAATTCGTCTGAAAGTGTGGCGTCCCCTCATTCTCTGTGCTTTCACTGGGAGCTACAATCCCGAGCTGCTAGTGATCAGCCATCTTGGATCTCTCCCCAAGGACAATATAACTTTAAAAAAAAATACTGGAGATCATATTTTTAATAGAGTCTAAGCTTATTCTATTTTTAGATTCACTAACCTAATACAGTGTCTGACACATGATTGATACTCAATGAAGAATGAATGGCTAGATACCCTCAAAGTCAGCTTTGTTTTGTTTTTGTTTGTTGTTTTTATGTAAATAATCTGTTGCAAACATTTGTTAGACTCCTTGTTCTCTTAGTGATCACTGGAACTTTAGTGATACATGGATTATGTATTAGGTCCTTCTAGCATGTTGGATACAGCACTTAGTCATCTAATGAAATTTAATGTGATTGTCTAGCTTTCTTTCACCTCAGGTCTTTGTCCCCATATTTAAAATATATCAAGTATTTCTAAAACAAAAAATTCAATTTTGATTATATCAGTAGACAAAATGTTTACATATTTTTCTTCCTTCTACTATAGTAGATATTTTCAGGGAGAGAAATATTCAATACCAACCCCAACTAAGAGAGGTTTTTACCCTAAGCACCTTCTCTTCAATGAATAATTCTACTATTTCAAATTGTTAGTTAAAAAACATATTAAATTTTTATTGCAAAAAAATTTAAACACATAAAAATGTAGTTAAAAATAGTAAAAGAAAATACCAGATACCTATCCTCTTGATTCAACAATTATCAATAGCGCTTGAATTTAATCTGTTTTTAAAATATATGCCTTGACTCCTATTGTCCCTCCTGAGGTGGAAATTCTCAGATTCTTTCTCCTCTTCTGAGAACTTTTATTTTAGCCTCTTGTGGAAGGTTGAAAAATTATTTAGATAATCACATAAGCTCCCACCACCTCCATGTATATCATACACATAATGATCTGAGATATTAATTCAATTCCCAGTCACCTGCTGTTCGAGTGCCATTCCCACAGTGCTGCTAGATAGTTCTCTGTCCTGTTGGAGACATTTTTCCATGGGTCTCTCATATTTCTGCATACCTTGTGAGCAAAGCACTGACTTGCCCTTTCTTCCTGTAAAAGGATGTTTGTATAGTGAAGAGCTTTAAAAGCTGGAGCTACTGTCTCCCTCTAGAGCAAAGGGCAGGTGTACTTACTGACCATTACAAAAGATTCAGTTTCCCTAAGCTTAGGTTCTCCTCTGGTAACCCGACCTGCTGCATGGAATGATGTCACCTGACCCTCTGTGCCACCTGTTGGAATTGGGACTTAGGAACAAATGCAAAAACACAGATACTCTGGCTATTGCTATTGATGTGAATAATAAGCCATTCTTCATCTCTGATCCAGGAATCTTGGGTTTTCCATGAAACTATGGCAGGATAATTTTTTTGTTTGCAAGTAGGGTAAATGTCAGACTCTTGACAGTTTAGTAATGATGCTGACAAAGATATGGCTTTCTGGAAGAGGAAGGATTAGTCCACAAGCCTATTGGTAGGAACTGGGGATGTTCATGGGACATAGTAGTGAACTGATCAAATTGTATGGCCAACTGGGTAATAAATTGTCCTCTACTGCTTGCTAGTGAGAAGGAATTGAGAAGATTAACTGTAGGAATTGCAGGTTGAGTATCAGGAAGTAGGTTTGGGAACAGTTGTTCGAATAGTGCACTGCTTGTTGCTAACTCTCCTCTGGGTGAGGAAACTTCCTCACCAACTGAGGAGTCAACCTCAAATCTCTCCCATTGTAATAGCCAGCACTAAAATTCCTCTCTTTCAGACAAGTTACAGAGACACACATCTACACTGAGCATGAAAGGAGGAAAATCTGCTTGCCAGTATAGGCAAAACTCAGACAAATCGTTGGAACTGTGGCTGGTTTGCTTAGCAAATGAGGGATTGGGTAAGTAAAGCTAATTAAGAAAAACAGCAAAAGCTGGGCTTTTTAAAAATTGTACTTTTGTTCTGGGGTACATGTGCAGATCATGCAGAATTGTTGCATTAGAACATACATAGTAAGGTGGTTTGCCACCTCCATCCCCTATCACCTATATCTGGCATTTCTCCCCATGTTATCCCTCCCCACCCTCCCCACTCCCGCTGTCCCTCCCCTAACCCCATCCCAACAGACCCTAGTGTGTGTTGCTCCCCTCCCTGTGTCCACATGTTCTCATTGTTCAACACCCACCTATGAGTGAGAACATGCAGTGTTTGATTTTCTGTTCTTGTGTCAGTTTGCTGAGAATGATGGTTTCCAGATTCATCCATGTCCCTACAAAGAACATGAACTCATCATTTTTGATGGCTGCATAATATTCCATGGTGTATATGTGCCACATTTTCCTTGTCCAGTCTATCATTGATGGGCATTTGGGTTGGTTCCAGGTGTTTGCTATTGTAAACAATGCCACAATGAACACATGGGTTCATGTGTCTTTATAGTAGAATGATTTATAATCCTTTGGGTATATACCCAGTAATGGGATTGCTGGGTCAAATGGAATTTCTATTTCTAGATCCTTGAGGAATCACCACACTGTCTTCCACAATGGTTGAACTAATTTACACTCCCACCAACAGTGTAAAAGTGTTCCCATTTCCCCACATCCTCTCCAGCATCTGTTGTCTCCAGATTGTTTAATGATTGCCATTCTAACTGGCATGAGATGGTATCTCAATGTAGTTTTGATTTGCATTTCTCTAATGACCAGTGATCATGAGCATTTTTTCCTATGTTTTTTGGCCTCATATATGTCTTCTTTTTAAAAGTGTCTTTATATCCTGTGCCCACTTTTGAATTTGTTATATCCTATGCCCACTTTTGTGTTTGTTTGTTTCTTGTAAATCTGTTTTAGTTCTTTGTAGATTCTGAATATTAGCCCTTTGTCAGATGGGTAGATTGCAAAACTTTTTTTCCATTCTGTTGGTTGCCGGTTCACTCTAATGATTGTTTTGCTGTACAGAAGCTCTCAATTTTAATTAGATCCCATTTGTCTATTTTGGCTTTTGTCGCCATTGCTTTTGGTGTTTTAGTCATGAAGTCCTTGCCTATGCCTGTGTCCTGAATGGTTTTGCCTCAGTTTTCTTCTAGGGTTTTTATGGTGTTAGGTCTTATGTTTAAATCTTTAATCCATCTGGAGTTAATTTTAGTGTAAGGTGTCAGGAAGGGGTCCAGTTTCTGCATTCTGCACATGGCTAGCCTGTTTTCCCAACACCATTTATTAAACAGGGAATCCTTTCCCCATTGCTTGTTTTTGTCAGGTTTGTCAAAGATCGGATGGTTGTAGATGTGTGGGGTTGCTTCCGAGGCATCTGTTCTGTTCCATTGGACTATATATCTGTTTTGGTACCAGTACTGTGCTATTTTGATTACTGTAGCCTTGTAGTATAGTTTGAAGTCAGGTAGTGTGATGCCTCCAGCTTTGTTCTTTTTGCTTGGGATTGTCTTGGCTATGCGGGCTCTCTTTTGTTTCCTTATGACATTTAAAGTGGTTTTTTCCAGTTCTGTGAAGAAGGTCATTGGTAGCCTGATGTGGATAATGTTGAATCTATAAATTACTTTGGGCAGTATAGCCATTTTTACAATATTGATTCTTCCTAACCATGAGCATGGAATGCTTTTCCATCTGTTTTGTCCTCTCTTATTTCCTTGAGCAGTGGTTTGTAGTTCTCCTTGAAGAGGTCCTTTACATCCTTTATCAGTTGTATTCCTAGGTATTTTATTCTCTTTGTGCAATTGTGAATGGCAGTTTGTTCTTGAATTGGCTCTCTTTAAGTCTGTTATTGGTATATAGAAATGCTTGTGATTTCTACACACTGATTTTGTATCCTGAGACTTTGCTGAATTTGCTTATCAATTTCAGGAGATTTTGGGCTGAGACAATAGGGTCTTCTAAATATACAATCACGTCATCTGCAAGTAAAAACAATTTGACTTCCTCCTTTCCTAATTGAATACCATTTATTTCCTTTTCTTTCCTGATTGCTCTGGCTAGAACTTCCAATACTACATTGAATAGGGGTGGTGAGAGAGGCCATCCTTGTCTAGTGCCAGATTTCAAAGGGAATGCTTCCAGTTTTTTCCCATTCAGTATGATATTAGCTCTGGGTTTGTTGTAAATAGCTTTTATTATTTTGAGATATGGTCCATCAATACCTAGTTTATTGAGGGTTTTTAGCATAAAGGGCTATTGAATTTTGTCAAAGGCCTTCTCTGCATCTACTGAGATAATCATATGGTTTTTGCCTTTGGTTTTGTTTATGTGGTGAATTATGTTTATAGACTTGCGTATGTTGAACCAGCCTTGCATCCCCGGGATGAAGGCTACTTGATTGTGATGAATAAGCTTTTAGATGTGCTATTGCATTCGGTTTGCCAGTATTTTATTGAAGATTTTTGCATCGATGTTCATCATAGATATCTCTGCCAGGTTTTGGTATCAGGATGATGTTGGTTCATAAAATAAGTTAGGGAGGCTGGGCTTTTTTTATAGCTCAAAACCTCCTGTAATCTCTAATGCAGGTCTTAAATCCAGTTGGAGATGACAGTAGAAAGTCTCAGACTTTTTTTCCAGTGAGTCGTGGTTGCTAAAAGGGAACTTTGACCTTCTTGGGAAGATTTTCCTGAAAAAGAAAAACTCCTGTGGGGAATCATAGATGAGGCATTGACTAGGGTCCAGGCTTTTAATGGCCTAGATTGGTTTTATAATGTTGGTGGATGATGATGAGAAAATAATCTCTCCATCTCTTTCACTCTTTCTCTTTCTTCCCCTGACCTAAGCCAAGTTAAGGAGCAATGATTAGAGATGGGGCCAAGGTCTTCCTGTCCTCAAGGGGAATGAAAGACCATATGCCTTCACCCCAGTATGGTGGGGAATCTTGGAGAGAGAAAGGAATCAAACTTTTATGGGTCTGTTGGATACAGATCTACCTAGACCTGTGAGAGGGAAAGGCATGCAAATTCAGTTAGCAGGGTTTAGGCAGGGTTCACGGTGGGGAAAGAAAGCTAGCTTGACTTTGTGGGTGGGGTCCTTTGGGCCAATTCAATGTGCTATTGCTGCTGCTTCTACATCTCAATGTAAATGGGAATTGATGCTTGCCTGTCCCATAAGTGCCAGAAAAGAGATTCTCCTAATTGATAAGAGCTGTCCAAAGCTCTCATTATATAGGTGACAACTTATTGATTGGTGAGTCAGAAGCCTCAGCTTAGTCACTCTTATCAGAGGTGGCTGATAAGCTCTGACAAAATTCAGGGTCCTATTGGACAAGTACATTTCTCAGTACTATGTGGTTGGATATATAACATTCAATATTTTGGGTAGTCAAGGAAAAACTGTTCTCTTTGATCCCTATCACCAAGTATTAGAGACAGTATGTGCCTCACTAGAGACTTCTGTTTGGTTCCTTATGTGGGCTAACTTTCAAATCAGCATCCTTTGAGTGCGACTCAAATGAATAAGCTGCATTGGAAGCTATCCTGCAAGTTATAACACACTCTCTACTTTGGGGTCCCATAACCCTAATGACCCTTCTGCACTACAAGTCTCTCTGACTGATTATTTTTTTGACTGCAGCCTCTAGCAAAAGGAGGTAGTTTCTACACAGAGATTCCTCCCTTGAGGTTTTGGACTCATCACCTCCCTGATGCAGCTACCATTAACACCCCTTTTGAGAAAGTGGCTATCAACTTGCTATGTGCTCTTGTCAACACCGAGTACCTGACCCTTGGAAGATTTGGGGTTTTCTGAGGTGATATTCCTATTTTGGGGTGAGTCTTTTGGATTCAATGACTAACAAGTGGGGAAGGACCCAACAAGCTTCACTAGTCAAATGAGATGAAAATGGCACATTCAAGAACACCAGCATGGCCTCAGTGGCATCTAGGCTTTACTGGTAAGATCAGTACCTACTGCTTTGGGGAAATACTCTACCCACACTCTGCCAACTGAAGCAAGGTCGCTGGTTCTATAAGGCCTTCAATTCACAGCAGTTTCCCTAGAATCCTGGGCCCAGTCAGCTGAAACCTGGTGGTATTCACTGGGCTGCTGTGACTGTTCAACCTCAGTGTCAGCAACATAAAGCCCAAAATGAAGGAGTTTGCTCCACTCTGTGGGCAGAACTCAAGCTGTTCTCATGGTCCTAGCCAATGCTATCCTTGAAGAACCCTGTTATATTTTTTACTGACTTGAGCCATTGCCAATGGCCTATCTGTTAGGTCTATCACTTAGAAACTAAAGACTGGCCAATTCAAATATCCCTTTAGGGCTGCAAACTGTGGAAATAAATTGTGACTGCTGATGAAATTGTCTGGGTGAAGTCTATGAGAAGAATCCAGTCTCTGATGAGAGTGCCAGGACTCCGGCTGCTGATTAAGCCTGTTCTGCCCAGATTGCCATCATTGCTGCCTGGGTCCATTACCATATTGGATGAGGAAATACGTCCACGATCATAGACTGGGCATAAAGTAAAGGCCTCTATGTTCCTGATGCAGATACTATGACTGCATGCCAGACTTAGAACTTCTGTCAAAAGTTGTAACAAAGGAGGACACATCCCATGGGGCACTGAACCACCTGCAATGGCAGATTGACAGCATTTGACCTTTGATTCCCTCTCAGGGCTATCCTTGGGACTTCACTGCTGTGGATACTTTTCTGGATTATGGTGGTTTTGTTCCAGCTGATCATCCAATTCTGGCCACACTATTATGGCCCTTGAAACTAATCCATGCCATGTTTTGGGCTGTCTGAATGATCTGAAGTCTGACACTAGTGTGCCTTTTATCACAAAAGTCACTCAAGAGTGGGCTGATGTTCGAGATACTTGATGGACTTTCCATGCTCATCAGTTGAACCATCTGTGGGCATCTGGTATTGTGGAACATTGCAATGGTCTCCTCATTAACATTTCCTATTCTTCCTCCCTCGTCTTTTCCAGATCCACACACCTTAGTAAGACAATTGATCATTCAATGCCACTCCTCCTGGGAGGGGGTCATTTTCTTTCAGTTGCCTCCTGGGTAATAATTAGGAGTGAAGAGGTAGAGAATTATATAGACTTATTTTAAACATTCAGGAGTCCACCCAGATAATTCCTGGGCATGATGTTTTTATTTTTCTACTGATGGCAACCCCAAGCCAGTCTGGTTGGTTCATCCGCTAACTGTTGTGAGTAATAAAGTCTTTTGTCTCAACCAGATTCTTATTTCTTCTACCAGAATTCATAAAACTATGATGGGCTAACTTGTTAGTTTGCAAGTAGAGTAAAATATCAGATCTTCATACTTCTTGGCTATATTCCCACATTGAAAAATAGCCTGGATTATAAAACATGTACAGCACAGAGCTGTGCAGAATGAGGCTTGCTTATTTTGCCTTTCTGCCTAGTGCTGCCCAAACTGACAGTGATAAACTCTGTGACATACACTCTTATGAACTCAGCAAGATCATACCAAGAATATTTTGACAAAAAATGGAAATAAGTAGGACTCAGGCACTATTTGTTCCCCCTTGTATTGCCACACAAGGGAAGAAATTATGTGTTCTCTTTGTCAGTTGCCATCATAGTTAGAGGGTCCAGGGTGTGATGACCTATAGGAGAGTGTGCCCCTTAATGACCCTTCTCAGTGGTGACACAATGTGTATAAGAAAGAAACTAATTTCAGTAAAGATTGTATGCAGCTCAAATCAGGGTTGCCTAATTGAGTCTAATACCATTGCTGATAGCTATGAATATGTTCAAAGAATTTGTTGTGAAAGCACCTCTCATGTTAACTATTATGATTCCACCTCCATGTAGTGAGATTACAGTTTAGGAGGTTCCTAGCTTGCTCTGTGTGTGTGTGTGTGTGTGTGTGTGTGTGTGTGTGTGTGCATGTGTGCGTACATGCTGCCCATCAGAACCTTTTCATGCAGTCAAACTCAGGTAGAGTAAAACAGCTGTTGTCTCATTTATTAACAGAGGTTTCAGTGGTTACCATAAAGCATGATTTCCAAAAGTGATTGTTTATAATAGTCAATATGTGACAGTTCTGATATACAGTTCTTCACATGTCTTCACACACATGTGATAGCTACTGCACATGGAAACCTTGTGAGGCTTAGGGCCTGGAGACTGAAGAGAGCTCAAAGACAGACCTGAAAATTTTCATGGCCAACAGCTCAGCAACTGGACATTACGCATTATTTTGTGGATGATGCAATATGCATTTGTTGAGTGTCTACTATTTGGAGGTATTTTACTGGACACTAAGATACACAGATGCTAAAATGTTTGCCCATGAAAAGCTAGCAGGCTAGTGCAAACAACCATAAATAGGTCTATAAACCAATAACTACAAAATGTTAAATGGGAATACGGAGAGAGGAAATGATTAATTCTTCTTGCAATTAAAAAAGAAAATTGAGAAGGCAAAGTTGTATTGGGGCCCTCTACTATGTTTAAGGGTTGCATATTACCCTGTATTCTATGCACAGTGAGGCTCAGACTCCCCAGAGGTACATCAGGGAAAGGTAAGCTTTGGAGACACACAGCTTGAATTTCAGCTCTGCCATTAAAACTACTTGGTTATGTAACTAACAAACTTAAACTCTGTTGAAGTCCAGTTTTACCATTGAAATAGTGTCACCTCATTGACTTATGAGAATCAGAGATAACCAATCTAAACTGTATGTGTAGTAGTTCCATAAATGTTGTTCTCTCTTCTCTACCCTTCA